GTTTCAACTACACCCAATTGTTCTAACCTACACATGACACTCCCGTTACAAAAACAGACTGATGAAAAGCATAAACAAAGTCAAATAAAATAAACTAAGTCCAAAAAAAAAACCTAGATTTGTCTATAAGGGAACAAATCGTCCATCGATAAACAATTTATCGGGTTCTGGTTTGCTAAAGAAAGCATTCTTTCCCTCCTCTCTTGCTTTTGTGAGACGTGGACACTGCTTTTTTCTTCTTTCGTTTATTTCTTTAGGAAAATCTGCGTAGACCTTAATATCGATATCATCCGCCAGCTCGCGTACTCTTCGAAAGACCAGATCATGATCACGTTCTGGAAATCTCAAGAAAACGAACAATCACCGGTCTAGTTTCGACCGTCTTCTTCTTTCCTATTCTGTGAGCTCGCTGGAATTCAATATCTGCTGCGTTTTCCATCTCCAATTCGTCGCTAAGGAATTTTCGTACAACTTCATGCGTATTCTCAGCTCCATCAGCAGATTCTGGAAAACCGAAGAATCTTAGGTTTTCTCGCTTGTTGTACACCTCTTGGTACAATATTTTGTCCTCAAGTTCCTTGATTTTGACTTCTTTTTCTTTATCATTCTTCTTTAGGTCTTCAATTTCAGCGTTTGCGAATTCCATTGACTTGCTGAGGTCGTTAACTTCGCCTTCCAATTTTCTTGTCTTCTCGCCAATCTTATTCAGCTCGGTTTCGAGATTATTAACCGACTTCTCCAAAGCGGAGAAACGTTCAAATATACCTTCTAGATTCTATAACCTGCTTTCTACTCCTGTGAGCATTTCGAAGATCCGTTCCAATTATGTCGCGATTTTTTCTGTCATGTTCAGGGCCTCCAGAACTTGATCGTCCTCGCTAAATACTACGCCAATGTTCGGTTCCGAATGAGGACTGTTGCAAGCCTTTTTTCCTTCTGGAGAGCAAATATCGCTATCAGAGCTGATACTAACAATTGCCTTCGATTTCCGTTTACAACTTTGAGCCATAGACTAGGTTAACGGACTAAAATTTTTAAGAAAGGACAAAAAGTTCACGGGAGTGAAACATCCACGTCTTCACTCGCACATGGTCGACCCAGTCTCCCCAAAAGAGCATTATGGTATGTTATGGTATTTTCTGGAGTGGTCAATTCCAGTCATCGCCGAAAATACACCGCATGCTCATCACGAGCTCATTTGCATACAATGAAAGTCGTCACGATTCTTATCCCCAGTTTCCACGGTCTCCGCTGGGAAGGCGTGGCCTACAAACTACAATCATCGTCAAAAGTGTTGGGAAAGTTGCCTTTTTTACCTCTTCTTTTCCTTCCTCCCCCGCCCCAATGTTGATCAAAACGTTAATGTTTGTGCGCGTAATTGTTCTGTTATATCCCAACATTGAACAGGGGGGACGGTGGATATTTAGCAAAAGAGAAAACTCTCTTTTTTCAGGATTAAAATGGACTCCTGTTAAGTTGTACAGCCTTCCCAACTACTTTTGTCTGTGATTGTAGGTCCCACCGACAGAAAAAAAAAATGGAAAAAAAAAAAAAAAAAAGCGCTGTACAATATTCATTCAATACGCGAACAACTATTTACTGGCATAAATGGGTATCAATGGCAGAGATGCCAACCCCTGGAGATATTAAAAAAGGAGACCCCCTTTTCTTTCATAACCCCCCTCCCCCCCAATCTCAACCACACCACCCCCCACACCCCCACACAAAACATAATCCACACATACATGCCCATATCTACTAAAAAAAAAAAAAAAAAAGAAGCGCTGTACAATATTCATTCAATACGCGAACAACTATTTACTGTCATAAGTGGGTCTCAATGGCAGAGATGCCAACCTCTGGAGATATGAAAAAAGGAGACTCCCTTTTCTTTCATAACCCCCCTCCCCCCGAATTTCAACGGACTACCCCCCGAAAATTCGATTTATATCAGAAGCCACCTGTTCTTCCGTTCATCCAAAAATGAAAACTGTTTTCAGGTGCAAACAGTGAATTTGTTGACAATTGAGTTGCAATTGAGAGTCGAAGGATCAAACAATTTATTCCCTTTTTTTAAAACCCTCTTTTAAGACTTCTTCTGACATGTGTGTCTGATGGCCGATATTGGCCAGGTTTGTAGGCGCCTAGTTTTTTCACGATTTAGATCTGCCACCCTTTCAAAATAACATCAGTTCCGCGTGTAGTTACTTCCCGGAGTAGCCAATAGATAAAAATCGAAATCCATAAAAATCGTTAGCGATCAAGTGATTTTATTGATTGACAACGGAAAACGGTGAAAAGCTATCTAGAGAAATCTTTTATCCTGAATTTCAGGCATCTCTTCGACTCTAGAGAATGCCTGAAATTCAGGCTGAGAAATCTTTTATCTAAGGTTGTATTTCTCGTGGTACTTGCCTGCGAGAACTGCGAATGTAATTAAACCAAACCGTTTTTGTTCTTATGTACAAAAGGGTCACGGTTTTAGAGAGAATCTTGTGTCTGTAATAGTTTCCACATTTCGTATTTTCATGTTTGTTGATCAGTTGTTACTCGTGGACGTGTTTTCTCAGCTGTACTATTTAACTTATGCCAAAAAGAACAATGTCGGACTTACAGTTATAAATCGTTTAAATCATGAAATATCGATAACATCGATTTGATACAGCAATTTAGTTTATCGATTTTCAACAATTTCCGTTATCAATCGATAAAAATCACTTGATTGCTATCGATTTTTATCGATACCGATTTTTATCGATTGACTACTCCGGGGTATATACCAAATACATTTAGCCAGGGCTAAAAGCGAAGCCTCCGTTTCTATACTCTCATGATAAAAGCTATCAAATTTAAACTAATAACATGAATTTTAAGCCAAAAAGAAAAATCTTCACATCCCTATTAATAAAACTGTAGGGCGTTATATTCTCGCCAAAATTCAAGATTTTGTATGCAGCATTGTTGTTTTGAATTAATTAATGCCCGCTTTGCTAATCCAATATTTGACTTGTATATTATCCAACATTGTACATTCGCTATTCAACATTCATGTTGCAAAATCCAACATTAAACTTCTTTAATTCAACATTGCGCACTGACAATTCAACGTCCATATTTCAAATACTATTCACATGCAACATTCGTTTGTGTGTTTTTGTTTTTGTGTGTAGCATCACAATCATTCCTTGTTTTACTTCGTCGTAAACGAAAGGCCATGCATATTTTAAATCCAACTTTCCTTCGCTTACATACGACATTCGTCTATTTCACTGCGATTGTTTCTAATGCAAACTTTCATCAATTTGGTCTTACATTTTCCTTTTAAATGGCCCAGACAAGAAGCCAGGAGTGTTCGCTTTCGAACCGCCGTAAGCCAACGAGACATTTTTTTGGCGCTTTGTCACGGGGACTTTGCGTTGATTGGCTAGTTTGCATTGCCTATTCACTGGCATTTGATTGGCTCAGACCAGCTGTCCTTTTTCTCTTAATTTGAACAGTTTGCCTACTTGAAAAGGAAAGTCCTATCTGAAACTATCCAAATTTATCCTTAATTGGACAGTTCGTAAAATAAAAGGATATTAGCTTTGCTGACAATATCGGATTAACTAACAGATGTATAATTAGTCAAATAACCTGGCAGATTATCGTTAAAACATGGGTAAGTACCAATTAAGGGTCGATACGAATTTAGCTCATATATGTATTTAAAACGCAAATAAAGGAAAAAAAAACAACAGCAAATTTAATGTTAAGGCTTAGATGAAACTTTGCACTTGGCGAACGTCATGTAACTCCACTTATCATCAAGCATTTGGACTATATATAGTACATGAAGATTAAGCCTGGATCGAAGTTTGAAGATCTAAAAATAATCCTCTTGGACATTAATTGAATACTCATTGTCTATTGCTTGTGGAAATCTTTGTCGTAAGATCTGTAATTGCTACTTTGTTCGAACGCTCCTTGCTAAAACCATTTGAAGTGATTCATGTGTCAGCGCTCTGGAATTCAGTTGCTGAAACATGAATTAAGAAAGAAACATGTGTCTGTAATTAAAAAAATCGTCGTTATCACTTCCTTCAAATATTGTAGGAAAAAGTGCTATTTTTTAAGCTCATCAGGATATAGTTTCTGTGCGAAGAGTTTGATTATATAAAGATTATGTGCGTCAATGGTTTGATAATATACCGGCTTTGACATTTTCCTGACTAGTTTAGATGACATAGCTTCAAGAAATTGCAGTTATAAAATAATCATTTTTAATTAGTAGCTACAATAAAATGTCGAGACACTTGATTCGACGAAAAACTGGCTTTCTTACTTATTTACAATCGCTGCTAGTAACATCTATGAGGTACACCTTCCTCCCCTCCATTCAAAGTTGTTCTAAGATCACGGACAGGTCATCTGAGCCCAAGTAAGGTGCATTGTTGCAAGTTGTTTGGTAACTGGTTTTAGTTGTCAGAATTTAACACGTGAATTCCGACGTTTAAAGTCTTTTTATCGACGTCTGCGCGACTTTCTGTGTTTGTAATCCCTTATCGACGTCTTATATTCGATGATGTCTGCCAAATAATGAGAGGACTCTACGCGGCACCAACTAAATTGAACATCTTGCAAAGTTAATTAATAGAGAGATTTGTTTTTGAAGAGCTTTGTGGTTCTCAGTTTCGTTTCTAATTAACTTTAATTTTACGGCAAAAGTTATACTTGCCTGACTTATTTCAGATTATCTCAGACCTTGAAAATATTTGATCCTGTATCTCATTCGATTCTCTTTGGTCAAAATCTACCGTGGCGTTAATAACAGGCCAGCATTCGCTTAAGAAACCTTAAATGACCTTTTGTGTCCACTAATCTGTTCATATTTCAATAAATAAAGCTCTTTTTGTCATCCAGTCACATTTTAATCAAATTGATTGACGACACGCAAGGGCAGATGTGGTTTTTTTCGGTAATATTTGACTTGGTGAGTTTTTATTTTGTTATTGTCGTCCTCTTAGCGGAGCTCCTTGTATTAAGATCTGAGACAATGATCTGATCTAGTTTGAGGTTTGATATAAGCTTAGTCAGAGCTTTAAAAAGCCTTTAGTCGATATTTTCCCTCCGCAAATAGAAAGAAAAAACGTTCCGAAGAGTATTTAATTATAATTTTGGCTGTAGAAAGATAAAGCTTTGAGCGATTTTCATGCCTCGAGTTCATCTTTGAAAACAGTAAACACCAGGAAGCCCGGTAAAAGGTTTAAGCTTAAGCTTAAAGACTCAGGATTTTTAGAGACGCTTTAATACTTGTCTTCGTGAATGAAAATGGTTGTCTCTGTAAATGTTTCACCGAATTACATTTCTTTTATTGATTGTTAGTAGTCTTTGGGTGTATATATAAGGCTATCAATTCGATGTAAGATTTTTTTTCACTCTAAAATCACTTAGCCTTAGCTTTCCCTAAAAAGTCACATATGTGCCCTTAAGTTAACTGATTTGTGGATTGCAAGTTTGTTGTTTGATTTAAATTTCAATTCATTAATGGGAGCTTCGCTTTTAGCCCTGGCTAAATCTATATATTATTTTCTACAACATCAAAGTTCACTTTCTTAAAGGATGACTGGTAAAGTGGCCGATTGTCTTGGGTGTGTTTTTTGGTCAAACTCAAACATTTATTTAATTTTCAAGAAACATGAACGTACTTTAAAATCATTGATTACTTCTGCGAAGTTTTTTATAGCAGTATTGTTCCGTTGTAGA